GATATTTTTTTTTCCTTTTTTTAAAAAACATTGCCCCACACTAGGATTTTCTCCCGTGTTGTGGGTGCGTTGACAAACATACAAGTTCACATACACATGCCACCCAGACCCAAAACAACAACCTGTGGATGACACAAAAAGTTGTTCCGTACGGGAATCGAACCCGCGACACGTTGCACGGCAGCCAGTTGCCCAACCACCGCGCTAAGTGTGCAGTCCATGAGTGCAGCAAAATGAACAATATAAAGAGTATATTCATAATTTATTTATGCATGTACCTGTTTCCTTTATCAATAGTGAAGACAGCAGTTCTGGAGACTTTTCGCAGCGTATCCTGTGGTAATGCTCCGGAGGCGGCTTGAGCTCTCAGTTCTAAGAGCGCTCGCATGCTCACCTCCATGAACTTTAGACGCTCATCGTTGTTCTGTGGAGGTGAAATAAGACTTGTTTCTTAAGGAATAGAGTTGAGATTGTCTTGTCACTAATGTCTAAGATGTCGTTCAAAGACTCTATCTAATATATAAAATTCTCGTGTCAGTTTTCGTTGCCATACTCCTCCGAAACGGCTTGACCGATTTTGATGAAATATCGACAATTTACTTTTTACGATAATTTACTTCACAATTATTTATTTACAACGTACGATGACTATTTAATATTATTGACCGAAAAAATATACAATACCCTCATATTTATAGAACAATTTATGTTTTAAACGTAATAATATAAATAAACAGAATAACTGCTGTTTCATTCTATGGAATGTACGGTAATTAGAGCATTAAAAAAACAAAGGACATTATGGTCTAATGGTGGTGAATACTACAGTTAAGCACGTAGTTTAGTTTCGATACATCTTTGAAGCCATTTCATCTAGGAGTAAGTAGCTTTAAAATATTTATTTATTTACTAGCTGTTACCCGCGACTTCGTCTGCGTGAAATAGCGACTTCTGTATAAATTGGGTTTTTAAATTAGTCTTTGTCAAGGTATATTCTACGGCTGTACAACTGGAACAAATATCATCACAATCGATTCAGTACCTAGGTTATATTTATTGAGAAATGAATTTATTTTCGTGGTTTCTAAAATAAACAATCCCATAGAGGTTTTACCCGTACAGTGCCCGTCTCGTGAGGTTTCACTATTCTATGTTTGCAAATCAATGTTGTATCGCATTTCAATCAAATAGATATAGTGATTTTAACAGCACAGTTCCCGGTTTCGTGGGTTTTTCGGGTTAAAAACTTTTAGATGTCCTTTCCCGGGTCTCAAACTATCGCTGTACCGAATTTCACCAAATAGGTTCAATGGTTTAAAAGGTAAGAGCCCCTCTTTATTTCAACGTCCTTAGTCCTGGTTTTTTAGCGCATAGTTTCCGTCATTTTGGGATTTCCTCTCTCCTATAATGTGACCTGATATGTACCGGTACGACATGCGTTACTATCGCAAACATTTAAATGAAAAAATAGGTATTCTGATATTAGGTTAGTTACATATGATACATGGACTTTAATGTTGATATTAATGTCCTCTATAAGACTTAATACACCCCTTTGGCTCTATTGTCCATAATTTCCACAGCGTAATCAATACCAATAATATAAGGAGTTTTTTTGGTGGTTTTTTACACATCGGGTTGTCATTACCTAAAGGAGATTTTTTTTGAGGTCGGAAAATCATCCAATCACTTCTCCCGCCTTGGGTTAGGTGAGAGGGAGTGACAGATTCTTACTGACTAAAATCCACTCCGTTCCTACTCCTGCTCGTCGAGCCGGAGCCCCGTCAACTCGTTAGGCCTCCCACGGCACCGTATCGAGCATCAGCCCTACTGGGCTCCATCTATGATGGTGTCATGGCTCTGTAAGGCGCGCGCAGTATGCACGGGACTGGTTCTGGTCGGGTGGCGAGCTACCCTTGCTCTTCGTCTACAGACCCGCACTTACGGTGGCCTGTGGTCGGCCGATCTCCGACGCCCAGAGTGTCTCCCGCGACGGCTGGGGCGTGAGGAAGTTCGTTCCCTCACGCGCTCCGCTTTCTCCTTGGCAAGCATAACTGCTTCGCAGAATGATGCGACTGCATCCCAATCCCCCTCGCTCCATGGCCTGAACCAGAGCCGAACGCGAGAGGTCACCGTTTCCTACATCCCTGAGAACACGGCGGTGCTCAGCCCATGCAAGGTACACCGCCACGATATGCTCCACCGTGTTCTCCGGGCGGTCCTCGCATTGATGGCCTCTCTAAAGCCACTTTTAAAGAGGGGACTTTCCGCTGCAATGACAGCGAGCCCAGCCCTCGGTTACCTAAAGGAGTGTTTCGCTGTGTAAGTGAGGTTACCGGAGGCCCAATTACCCCTCCCTCAGCCCCCCCAATCCCTGACAATCCTCAAATTACCAATTCCCAAAAGACCGGTAACGCACTTCTAGCACTTCTGGTGTTACAGGTGTCCATGGGCGGCGCAGATTGCTTACCATCAGGTGATCCGTCTGCTCGTTTACCGGCTTATGCCATAAAAAAACAGCAAACTATCATAGTGAATTTGGCCTTGACGGTCTAAAATGAAAAGGACTAATATTATTTTTTAGCTATGTGCATTTAGCTAGTTTTTTTGATATACATATAAAAAATACGAATTCAAGTAAACTGAAAATATTTTATTCGTGGTTTTATCTCCTTAGACTGCTGTCAACCTCTTTGCATACCTTAATATTAATACCATAGTATAAAAAAAATCTATGACACATTGACTTTGTAAACTCACTTGTCACACAAATCTCAGATGACTTAAGAAATGTAGAGGTATACTAATAATATAAATTTGTATGTGCTTGTTTGTTTGTTTGTCCGTATTTCACGACAGAACGGAGTCAGGAAGGTTTTTGATTTGAGATAGTTGAAAAGATGGAGAGTATCATAGGCTACTTTTTGTCTTTTTCTAACCCCCTTCCACTTCCGTGAAACAGAGGTGAAAGTTTGTATGGGGTATTTTGCAATTTTCAATGTGGAAAGCTAACAATTGGTATGCGGGTTATTTGTGACCAGCATAGAATCGTGCATCATTTCATTTTTTTATTGTAAATCCTTCCCTCACCCCATTAAAAGAACGCGAGAGAAGCCGCAGACAGAGGCTAGTCTATGAATAAATTGTATTCGTATTTTGTCTTTAAAATCTCTGATGCAGCTGAATACTAATATCATTCCTTGAAAACCCACAGAACTTCATTTTTATATGTTGATGCCAAAATATATTATGGTAGTAGGACGCCATAACAATTACAAATCATCAGGTTGGTTACCATAGTAATGTTACCTATCAGATATCCGTTTTCAGGTTTTCAGATAAATCGTAATAAATAATTTGAACTTTATGCAGCGGTAATAAATTACAAATTGACTCTCCATTTTATTTAGAAAACGTTTGTATGGGAAATAGAAAAATGCTGTTTTGAGGATTTTCCCGGCAATTATTCGAATTTTTCTCACCTTTTAAACCTTCCCTAGACCTCCACGAATAATTCAAGACCAAGATAAGATAAATCCGTTCAGCCGTTGTCGAGTTTTAGCGAGACTAACGAACAGCAATTGATTTTTATATATATAGATACTAAGTACACACAGAAAAAAAAATGTATACATTGTAATAGTAATTTGAGTACAATGGGCGGTCTTATCACACATTATATATTGACATTTATACTGATTTTCTTTTAATAACTATCGCGAGCCATACTGAATTAGGTAACAATTTTGTGAAAAAAATTCAACTATCTCTACTAGTTAACTAGTTTCGAATCACAGAGGGACTCTTTTTTATGAGGCTGCGCGACGACGCCCCAACTACACACGCTGTTCATGAGGAAGAGTCCCTTTCTGACTCGAAACTAGTAGAGCTTTTCTTGGATATTTACGTGTGTAAACCCTTATATTTAGTTTATATTGATACTTACAATATACAACTTCTTGCAATGCTCCAACCATTCTCGTAGGGTAACGGCTATGTCGTGGACCACGCCGATACCACCAGCCGACGCGACCACCGTACCACCGCATCTAGAAAAAAAATAAACAAACTGTAGGTATTTATTTAGGCCCATGTATTTATGTAAATTTGTCTATAAATTATGGTTGAAGGTTAATTAAGGTTTAAGGTTTGACTGCACGGTTGGTGCGGTGGCTGGGCAACCGGCTGCCGAACGGGGCCGGTTCGATTCCCGCACGGAACAACATTTTTTGTGATCCACAAATTGTTGTTTCGGGTCTGGATGTCATTGTGTATGTGAACTTGTATGTTTGTAAACGCACCCACGACACAGGAGAAAATCCTAATGTAGGGCAAAGTTTAAAAAAAAAAAAAAAAAAAAAGTATATTAGTTAACCGACTAAAAAAGAGGCTGTTGAAGTCTGTTCTTTTAAACTGTCAAACACCAAGTGGTCTCCGGTGACCGCAACCTATTGTTCTATAATTGTGTCTATATTGCCGGTACTCGACGAGTTAAATGATAATATATAAAAAAATATTTATTCTTTGCTAGCACTAACTAGTGCTGCCACTAACTAATGATTATATTTTTGAGAAAATAAAACTAAGAGTTTTTTTATAATTGATGGGCCGACGTTTGACCACTATCTCGGCTGGTAGTACGTAATGATGCAGGTCTACGATGGAGCACGTCGGCCCATAAGCAACCTGTTCACTTGGGCCATGAAGAAACCCAGTTTACCCTTTCGGAAACACAGAGTCTGGCAAAGAATTTCACTCCTTAGCAGTACGTACAAGGAAGCTTGATGCGACGTGACTCGTGGAAGAGACATCCACCATGAATCGGTGACACTTCTCTCTCTGGGTTACTAAAGTAATGTGAAGGTAATTAACTGAACTTTAAAGTAAAACTCAATAATTCAATACTGAAAAATTTATTCTCAACTGATTCTTTCACGAACACAGCGTGACGCTCGTCAAAATTCCCACCAGAATCGCACGTTACCACTCTTTGCGCGGGAGGCTTTACTAATCTGTCACATTTGACAGATGACATCGTCAATATGACAGCTAGTGCTGTCGATAACATAGATTAAACTAGTGACGTTCATTTAGTTGATTTTCGTCGCCTAACAGTACTTACTATGTGAAATATGTTGAACAAAATGTACACGCAATCCCTGGCCTAAAAGCTATACCAATAATACTAAGCTTTTATATAAAATATATTATATACCTACAATAGCAGTTATAAACAAGTTTGTACACTGTACAGCCAAAATGTGCGTAATAAGGAAAGTTTTCAAGAGTTCAGATGTAGAACATAACAATAATTGGCTTTTCTCCAGTTACTGAAGTTGTAATGGAAACAACAATAATATGGCCTGATTATAAATATTATTTAGGCATTGTTAGGATCGGACCTTTCTGTTTATAAGACTATTGTAATACACGAACACAATTTCTGAGTTCACGTAACTGATTTTAACGAAAGTGCTTAATACTTAGGAATGTGCTGTGGGATATAATGAGTTAGGGGGGGGAACAGCGCGGCAGCAGCTAATTATATAGTATTATACGGATAACAAATCCAATAATCTTGAAAGCAATGCCTAACGATGTCTTATCGTCATCATTGTACTTCGTATGAATCGATTTCCACTTCGTAATCGTCACCTGTCAATACAAAATGTTATTGTTTCACTTATAAGTTAGTCACAGTAACAAAACATTCACAAATGGCTCTATATCGAGTACCCAACCTGATGACTAAAATAATGGAATTCAATGAATGAGAGTAAAGATTAAATAATAACATAATTAAATAATAACACAAATAAATAATAATACAAATAAATGATAACACAAATAAATAATAACACAAATAAATAATAACATAAATAAATAATAAGGCAAGTTAAGACGCCCGCTTCTCATGCATGAGGGTGCGGGGTTGCAACCTACCTATTGCAGATACTAGCAATGTGACTTTTTTCAAGTTATATGTACTTTCTAAGCTTATTCAGACACCACTGACAAAGGACTAAGGAAAACATAGGGAGGTAACCTAGACTTATAATTTCTAACAACGGCAAGTACCAATGTGTCTTTTTCCGAGTTATATATTGTACTCTCTAAGCTTATTCAAACACCACTGACAAACGGTGAAGGAAAATATAGTGAGGAAACCTGGACTTATAATTTCTAATCACTAATTATAAGTTTTAAATTGGTATCCCGCAATAAGCAAGCGTGGCTATTAATGCCCAAACCTTCTCTGTGTGAGAAGAGGCTTTGCTCAGCAGCAGCCACTTATAGGTTGTTGATGTGAATAACATTCTTTAAATAGTAGTAACTATACTTGGGAGCAAAGATACGAGGTCACTAGCGATTTTGATTATCGGTTCAAAGTCAAAGTCATGCTCTCATTTTAAAGATAATTAACTCGTCGAGTACCGGTTTTGTAGACACAATTATAGAACAATAGGTTGCGGTCACCGGTGACCGCTTGGTGTTTGACAGTTTAAATTGTCTTTTATTGAGATAGCGGTAAGGCGTCGGCCCTTTAAATATATAGAAAAAATACAACATAGGTCACCAATTGGGTACTTGCCCACTAGTCAAATTCAATACTTCTTTCTAACTGTCAAAAACGACGGTTTTCTGTGAATTTTGTACGAGATTGTGTACCTACAAACAGCATACTTATTTCTTATTAAAATATTGCTGGAAAAATATTAAAATCAAGTTGGTCATAAAATCAATTTATGAAAGTGTGATTATTTTTTTATATATTTTATTGTATTGAACAGTCGAAATAATTAATTTTTGATTCAAGAAATTACCCAATTAATAAAATAGTTGTGTATCAGAAAATATAAAAAAAAAATCAAAAGAAACAACGTTAATGGCATCGTTTCTTTGTTCCTAGATGTAATAAATGCATAACAGATGATAATTTTAACTTATTTTAGACTAGGGGAAATTAGTATTGGGTTACTTTTCCCATATATACATAACAGTACTTAACAGCGGTCGCCCGCAGCACAGATCATGTTACATCGAAAAAAAATGACGTATCAATGCAAAAAAGTATCAATTGCGAAATTAAAGATGGGAAAAAGATAAATACAACTAAAATAAACACTAGCTAATTACACACATACACAGTTTAAACTTACATAAAATGAGGTATAGACTTATGTGACAAAGATAAGGGTAATATAATAATTATTGTGCGTTTAAAAAAAACCGCCTTCAAATCCCTCTTTTGTTGAGATCGATGTATTAATATACTAAAACCCTTCTCCTAAGTATAACAAATACTGTGAAAACCGCATCAAAATGAGTTTAGCCAATCCCGCATAAACGTACATGCATACATGTTAAACTGAGAATCTCCTCCTTTTTTGAAGTCGGTGAGTTAGGATAATAACCAAAATAATATTTGACCTTGAGGATCTATTTGACGCATACCTGTCTTTAGTCACTATTATCTATCAAAATTTTATGACGTAAAATCATTTTTTTTATATTTACAAATTTAATTCATTTCAATAATTCTAATCAAATTTAAATTAAATAAATGTATACAACTTAAAATATAACTAACAAAAAACTAAAATATTTACACCACTTAAAAAAAAATAATAACAATAAAAATGCTATCTTAAGGCATCAAAAAATCAATTCAGTTATTTCTGCGTAAAAATAAAACCCCAAGAACTGTTCGAGTTAATTCATCTAATTCTCTATTCACAAACACGCGTTTAATCGTAAATAGTAAATACTATAATATAATAGTACTTTTATACGGGTCTGGGAATAGGGTTAAACCCTTCGAGTGATTAAACTAATAAATGTAGGTAGTATATGAGTCAATAGAATAAAATATTTATAAGCGTTTATTTCCTTAACGCATTGAGTTAGTATTGAATTGTTGGTCAATCAAAGACTGCTTCTATTTATGGTTTAAGCTAGTTTTTTTTTTCATAGGTACAGACAAATGGTAGCTTAGTGAGCAATCAGGACTGCACTTGGATACTTATTTAGTCTTGCATACAAAAATAAGGCGGACTTAATGCCATATGGCATTTCCTCCCAATCAACCTTTGGCTTAGGTAGAATATGCTTGAGTAATAAGAAAATAGTAATATGTGTGTTTGTGTGTGTGAGTGTGTGTGAGTGTGTGTGTGAGTGTGTGTGTATGTGTGTGTGCGCGCGTGTTTGTTACTCTTTCACGCAAAAACGACTGAAGGTATCGATATGAAATTTGAAACAGGGGTAGATTCTGGTCTGGAATAACATATAGGCTACTTTTTATCCTTCAGAAACGCGAGCGAAGTCGCTGCCGCTAATAGTAATGACATGACATGACATGATGACAAGGATGATGAATGTAAATCAGTTTCTCATATGAAGAAGTAAACAGAAACATTTTACACTACATTTCTCTAATTTCATACCAAATTAGTCGCGGTAATAACAAATGTATCGTCACATGAACCATGAAATGTAGTGTTACGGAAAACGCTATGCGGAAATAATATTCAGGACAGTGATTAACAGTTATATTGTATGTATAATAGAATTAACAAGCCAATTACAATTTGAACCAAAAATTTATTAAAATCACTTTAAATAGATTTATGACACGGGGTGTCGTGGTGGCCCGGAGGTTGAAGACGCCCGCTTCTCATGCTCGAGGGTGCAGGGTTGAAACCTACCAACGGCAAGTATCGATGTGACTTTTTCCGAGTTATATGTACTTTCTAAGATTATTTAGACACCACTGACCAACGGTGAAGGAAGAAGGAAAACATCGTGAGGAAACCTGGGCTTATAATTTCTAATTATAAGTTTGAAATCGCTAACCCGGACTGAGCAAGCGTGGTGATTAATGCTCTAACCTTCTCCATGTGAGGAGAGGCTTTGATCAGCAGTGGGTATTTATAGGCTGTTGATGATGATGATGAGATTTATGACAGTTTTCACTAACAACTCATTAACTGAAAGTCACTTAGCGGGACGTGGCACCTAAACTGACCCCTTACTTGTACTGTTAGGTGAAACTTAAACGTTAGTGAAACCCAAAACATCGTTAAATGTCATAAATCATTAATTTAATGCATTAACCAAAATATTATGATCAGGATTATACATCCACCTGCCTCGTCGGCCGAGTGGTCGCAAATGCGACTGCCGAGCAAGGGGTCTCGGATTCGATTCCCGGATCGGGCAAAGTATTACTGGTTTTTTTTTTAATCCCAGCACAGAGTCTCAAATTGTGCCCGGTATATGGCATAGGCTCACTCCCTATTACATGGGACTTATAACATAAATAGTGAAAGTTACATTGTAGTGTTACATTGTACAGTAGCATTAAGTGCCGTAATTTGCACCTCTGCCTTCCCCTTCGAGAATAAATGCGTGATGTTATGTATAAATAAATATTACTATAAGGTACGCTACAAGTACATGTCAAAGATTTTATTTGACACATCGTAGAACACAGACTACAAGTCACCAAAGACAGTGATTCATACAACTTCCGTCCTACGGTCCTACACATATGACCCTTGAGGGCGCGCATTAGGACCAAAGGTGTATCATTTGGTCCTTTCGTCCTAGAAACATTCCTATCCGGCCAATTAACATTAAAAAATAACTAATTGACGGGGTCAATGACCGTGATTGATAATCGTAGCCGTTGCCGAATGAATCATTACTGTGCACATGTGTATGTGTGTGAGTGTGTGTGTATGTCCGTGTGTCACTCCGCTGCCGTTTAATTGAAATATTATCAGTTAGCAGTCATTTGCTGCTTTATATTGTTTGTGTGTAATATAATATTCAGTAATCTGTCTCGTGTGTTAGTTACTGTTTCGATAGGATTTGGTTTCAAATTACTGCTACAGGTGGTCTACGCGTTCAGTAATTTATTTACATACTTTCTTTTAAAAAATACCGTTGATCCACACTTTTTTTTATGGGGTGAAAATCATCGAATGACTGTTCCTGTCTGAGTGAGGCGGGAAGGAGTGTCAGACTCTTACTGACTAAAAACCACCCCGTTCACCACCACACGTTAGGTTCGCCGCGACTCCGAATCGGCATCGGCCCTGTTGGGCCCCATCTGTGGTGGTCTGATGGCTCTTTGAGGCGCGCGCGGAACGCGACGCGCCGTACTCTCGGGTCTGCTTCTGGTCGGACGGGGAGCCACCCATGCTCGCCGTCCGCAGTCCCGCGCTTACGGTGGCCGGAGATCGTCCCGCGATCCCCGACGCCCGGTGTGTCCTTCGCGATGGCTGGTTTGCGAGGAGGCAGCGCTTCGCTGCCTCACGCGTCCCGCCTCCTCCTTAGCTAACATAACTGCTTCGCAAAAGGAGGAGACGGCAGCCCAATCCCCCTCGCTCCGCATCATGACCTGCACTAGGCCCGGACGCGAGAGATCGCCATCGCCGATCACTTCCCTGAGGGCACGGCGATGCTCAGGCTACGCAGGGCATTCCCCCACAGTATATTCCATCGTGTCCTCAGGGCGATCCTCGCAGTCATGACACCCGGGCGTTTCCTCCCGCCCCATCAGACACAGGTACCTCCCGAAATTTCCGGTAAGGACCTGCGTCAGGCGGTAGGTGAGGACGCCATAGCGTCTCTCAAGCCACTCCTCAAAGAGGGGACTTACCGCTGCAATGGCAGCGAGCCCATATAATGCAGTAAATTGTGACAAATTACTTATTTGAATTCATTGCATTTTGTATCTTACTGC